AACACCAATGCGATCGCGACCGCGGAAACTGCGTACGCCGCAGCCATTTTGTCGAACGACGCGACGGGGCAATGTGTAGCTCCCCGTATCCGTATCCCTACCGAGCCAGTCACGTGACTAAAAAATCTCTCTCCTAGGTACTGCGGCTAACTTTAGCCGCTGTTAGCTGTTCGAGCAAACGGGCCCTGAAATAACAAAGGCTCAAAACTATGTTTATAAACTTAGTTATGCTTCTAATTAGAAAAACATACCTGGGCTATGAGCTGAGGTGCTAAGGCCATTGTCATGCCCCAAAGCTGCAGTGGCTGAAATTTCGTGAAATGCAGATATGGATTGAAAAATGTTTCACAAGCGCTAGCATAATTATTTTTTTCACCTGCTCATTGACACACTTTGATTTTACTTCCCTTACCCAGTCCCTTACCCTTGAATCAAGTTGGCTAACACTTGCCTGATGCAGTTGAAGAGGGAAAATCCTCTGTTAGTGCCGGATAGAGTTGGTGTGCTGTAAATGCTTGGTTGCTTGCTTTCTTTTTTTTCTTTTTTTCTTAAAGTTGTGAGTTGTGGGAGTTTGAGCAGGTATGAACTGTCTGCTTTTGCACTGGACATCTCTGCAGTTCCTATCAGTTAAGGCAAGATGAGATGTAAACTGGGAATTGTCCAGGTTTTTTTCTGGCTCGTTCATATGGAGCTGAAAATAAAACATTCATCACATTAAATATTCACATTCACATTAAACATTATTCAATTGAATGGCTCCAGCCAATCAAATGCCGGCTAAAAGCACAGCCATTGGCTGCTCTCCGAATTCAGCCAATGACTGCGCTTCGAGCCGGTGTTTGGTTAGCCCCGGCCACAGATACCTTTGGCTACGCTCGGACTTAGAGTGTAAGGGAGTATAAGATCTAGTTCAGCCTTTTTCTGACACAAACCAAGTATCTAAGTGCAAGGCGATGAACAAAATGCATGAACCTTTTGGTGATACCCCAGGGCGAGCATCGGTACAGGATTCTCTTCCGTCCTCTTGCCGTCGACAAAGTACCGAGAGCACACACCAAAGGTAAGACCCTGCAGGTTTTACCTTTCGTCACGGTGTATACATCCGCTTTGGTGGTTTGGGACGCAACAGTCCATGTGTCCTCTTCAACTTGCTTGATGTCCTGATCGGTGATTTCAAGTCCCTCCGATGCTTCTGGTACGAGGCAATAGTTATATGGCGGATAATTCCCTTGATCATCTTAGTTCGGTGGCCCATGAGCTTGTTATGTGTCATTTTTAACACCTTTACCCAGGTGTCAAGACGTTTGTTACACTTGCCATCCATGTAACCGTGCTTGAGAAGTCCAAACAGGTTTTCCAGCCTGATGTTGATGTTGATTCTGGCATATTTTCGGAAGCAATATGCACACTCCGTTGGTCTGGATGCGTAGTATGTGACAAAGTAGTCGTGGAAGTCCTTCAGGATTGGCTCCTCTTGCTTTTTCAGTTTGTCCAGGAATCCCTCCATCAGCTTGTGGAACTTGTCTTTATGCTGACAGCAAAGGATGGCTCATAGTTGCATGTACAGGGCTTATTGGTTGAGCTGACCATGAACTCTAGCAATTCGCTTCCTCCAGTTCTTGTCGACATGCCAAGCACACAAAAGTAGTTTTTCAGGCTCAGGCGTGACACTTCTCCGGGCATTTATGTATGCTGGAGCATCGTCCGACATAAAAACCTTGCAATGGACTTTTCCAATCTTGCATTCAATGGCCTCGAAAAATTTCTGCATTTTAGGCGAATCCACTTTGTTTGAGATCAGGTAGGCAGGCAACAGGCACCCCCGCATTGAACTCGTCTACAATTATCAGTGTGGTCAGTTGGAATTCGTATCCATTGATGCCATGTGTTGAGTCAATCTGGATCTTGTCAGTGCCGAGTTCTGCTAGGAGGAGCTGCTGTTGAGGAGTCGTGATTTCTAGCATGAAATCCTTGTCTCCAGATTCACTGCCCATGCTTTGTGGCTTGTAGCAGATGATAGAAGAGTCAGATACACCACAGATCTTCTGAACCATCAGGTCAATGCTCACTGCGTCACTGCTGTCAAGTCTTTTGGTGTGGACAATGTTGAATTTAACGGCAATGTTCGGCAGGTCCTTTTTTGGACATTCAGCAGATGAGGCTCCACAGAGCCGACAGAGCTGATATTATCGAGGATCCTGTCTCTGGTTACGCCTGCCTTGAGCTTTTTTGCTAGTGCCTGCCTCCTTGTCACTTTGACTCAGCAGAGAATGGGCTATGTTCTCTATGTGTCCATGGTGTGTGGGCTGGTAGATGACAATAACCCTACCATCAGTCTGCTTCAGGATTTCTATTTGTGCCGGACACTTTGTCCCACAGTGACTGTTTCCTTGTGATTTGAGCTGTCATTTCCCCTTTCCTTTCGGGACGTATGTGCCACCGTGCTGACAATACTTCAGTTTTTACGGTACCGTCTGCCAACCGTCCTGCAGATCTGCGGACCACAAATCTGGTCTTCGTTTTCAGCTCTTCTGCGTTCTTCCCCGTAAGGAAATCTGCCTTCGTCGGGAACTCGTGGCACTCCTTCGTGATCTGAGAGTTATGATAGAGGACCTTGTGGCTGTAGAGACGATCGCGGAAGCTGAAGGTGGCCGAGCACTGGTCGCAGGCAAAGCAGTGCCTTTTCGTAGGGGGAGTGATGCCGTGCATGTTTTTCAATTGCTTGTCAAGGGTCTGCTTAGTGAGAAATTCTTTGTCACTAAAGGTACAAGTGGCACCCACAGCTCCAGAACTTCTTGGTGCATAGGCGTCCGAGTTCGCGTTTTCGGAACTGCCGGGTCGTTCAGCGTCGGACTCTGGCGATGTCATACTCACGTTGCTTGCGGAATTCGTGGATTCTCACCAGTTTCCTCTTCTTTAAAGACATCACGCCAAGGGCGAGCAGGAGGAAGACCCATAGATTGAAACATGCGCTAAGAACAGCACTTGTGCACGCAAAGAACCTTTAGTCTTGTTATGGCACCGAGAGATTTGGAATCATACTCTTGCCCTCTCGCTACCACACCACCGTTGTGCACGTGTGAATTAAAAACATTGACTGAGTTAAAATTTTCAGACTCATACTATGCGCTTGTTATGCTGGTAGGCAGCTTTTTTTTTTTTTATAAAGAAAAAGCTACATTGCAGTACATGCATAAGTTTAGGTTTCGTGTTGTCTCCACGCAGTATTGCAGGTGCCCTTTACTTGAGGGCATCCAGGATTTACAGGAAAAGCTGCCCGTGGCAGTGATGTGATATAAATAATCCGTTTAATGAGGAATTTAGTATGCATCCAGCCCAATGGTGTTTATTGAGTGGCGTTTGAGCAATCGGTGAGTGGTCTACACATCACGGCCAGCTTGAACTCTGCTTGACCTTAGCTTAAGTGGTTGGAACAAAATGCCAAAGTATCATAACGTAGCTATTCAAGAGCAGCGGTGTGATGTCGGCGCCATTTGCAGCAAACGGCTTCAAATGCCTTAGCCTGCTACATCCTGTTTCATTTCGCCAATATTACTGATCTTTGCCAACGCTGCACCAAGGGTAAAATGTTTTTGTCAATACCGAAACTAATAGGTTGCGGTACACTACTGGATCGTTATCTTAGGCTTGGGTGAGTTTTCTAGACATTAGATTATTGCTTCGCATACCGTTCGATTTGATTGTCTTATCCAGCGCCAACTGTACGCGGAAGTTGCATGGCACTTGACATAGTTCTTGCTCTCGGGCAGGTTAGCTAGTCTGTTGAGTGCACTTCCTAGCGTGCGTTTGTTCGCTGCAAACGAGCGACATTTGCGACGTGGAGATTGCGATTCTTTGCTCTATCTTCACCGCAACGCAGCTGCGTGTGTAGGCGAACACACTCCTTCATATCAGAGTGGCGCTCGTGCCCAGAATAAACAACAAAAAACAAACAAAAAAACCTACATGGGGAATTTTTATGTGACAACTCTGCCTTTAACCCTTTAAGCACCAGTCAGTTTTCGAAAAAATGTAACCAAAATGCAATTTTATTTTATTGCTCACTTTGAAAGAAGAATTTTTCCTTATTTCAAGCATATAAGACATGGGCAGAAAAGTTTAACAACTGAAAACCGAAATTGATCTAATCTTAAACCATATGAGGCAAAAAAAAAAAATTAAAAATGGGAACCGAGACGGCATCAGGAATTCCGTAGTTGAAAAACAAAGTTCTAAAAACTGGAAATGCAGACTTCTACACCCGTTGGAGAAGAACTCTATAAACCTTCAAAACTGTGCCTTGGTGTGGTACACCTCGAAGCATGGGATGGCGCACAGTCCCACGCCACAGTCCTTGCACCAGTAGTGCGTTTCTTTGCGCACCTTCTTGTCCCCACCACCTCGTGCCTTGCAGCACACGACGCACCTTCGTGTTGGCAGCTCCTTTCGAGGTGTCGGTGGGATGTAGGACACAAAGTGTCTGGCGGTCAGACGCAGCAAGCTGGTGTCGGACGGCCTGCCTCTCTTGAGGGTGCGGTTCGGATCGTGGTACTTCTGGACGATTCCTTCGTCCAGCGCCAGCCGTAATTCCAGGTGGCTCAGTTTCCCGCCTTGTTTCTGGTAGAGCAAAAATGCGTTGAAGACTGCCATGTCTAGGAGGTGACGGAAAATCTTCTTGTAATAAATTTTTTGTCGGCTTCTGGTTGTAGGGTAGTAGGAAAGCATCTGATCACTCTTGTCAACACCACCCACGGTGTGGTTGTAGTCGATGACTACAGCTGGTTTCGACACTGTCTCTTTCTTCCTATTTACCATTTCCGTCATGGTGGCATCATGCACAGTGGACAGCAAAGTCACAAGTTTTTTATCCCTCCACTGGACTGCCATGCACTTTCCACGCTGGTATGCCACAATATCTCCCTTTTTGAGATTAGCATCTCTGAGAGGTGGCATATCTTTGCGGGATGGTCGCACAGTGCCGTAGACGTCAGTCTTGCGACTCAAAATTTTTCAACCAACTCCGGCGACGTGTAGAAATTATCCACAGTAAGGCAATAGCCCTGGTCCAGCAGTGGCTCCATTAGTTTCATGACGACTTTCGTCCCCATGGCGCTTGCCTGATCGTCGACGTCAGTGCCCTTGCCTGTGTAGATGACGACGTCCCATATGTAGCCGGACGCTGCCTCACACAGCACATAGAACTTCACGCCGAAGCGGGACCGTTTTAGCGGAAGGAACTGTTTCCAGGAGAGTCGTCCCTTGTAGAGCATGAGGCTCTCGTCAATGGATATATTCTCTTCTGGCATGTAGCTTGCTTTGAAGCGCTCTTTCATGAGCGACAGCACCGGCCAGATCTTGCGAAGTTTCTGACGTGCTTGCCCCACTTCACCAACATCATCTTCGTTGTTTGCAAAGTGGAGAAACTTCATGAGCAGAATAAATCTGCTCTTACTCATCACCTTTCCAAACACTGGGGTTTCAATCACTCTGCGCTTTGACCAATACCGCTCGACAACTGGCTTGTCTACTATTCCCTGTAAAAGCAGAAGGGCGAAGAAGACTTTCATTTCTGCTTCCGTCACCGGTTTCCACGCCTTCACACGGGAGCCCCTTGAGATTGGTGCGGTCGCCAAGTGTTCATCGGCATACCAGTTTGTTTCCTTGACGATCTGAGTCATTACGTCCGGGCTCAGCAAGAGTTCCAAGTACCCAACAGCGTCAAGGGTGTCGTTTTCGTCGAGACCAGCGGAGACACCCGGCGTGGCAGTAAACGGAAAGCGGGGAGGAGCTCGTGGAGGATTTGTCGTGTCCACCTTTGTCCAGTCCCGCGCCGAAGCAAGGACCTCATCGCCGCTAAGGTCCGAGTCACTGGAGCTTTCAAACTCTTCCGCGGACTCTCCGCTTCCGTCGCTATCGTCTAGCGCAAAGTCATCATCATCCGAACTAGGAAACTCATCATCAACTAATGATACGCGCTTCCGAGACGAGCGACGCATGCCACCACTCAAAAGAGACGCCATTTTTAAAAAACCATGTTGCCGGAGGAGCACGATAGATTCTCAAAATGATGCCAAAATTAGCGAAATTTCGGTTCGCTTTTCCTCCTGGTGGCTAGCGGGAGAACTATTCTCAACGTAAAAATAGACTGGACGAGCGTGCCTCGTCGCTAGCACTACAGACGCGGGCTGAAACGAGCGGACGAGCGACGCTCGTCCTCGGCATTTTCGGAACGAACTTCTTGGACGAGTCAGACTCGTCCTCGGCGCTTAAAGGGTTAACTTCACAGTTCAAAATAGTATGAAACTATATAGGATAGACTGGGATGCCTTGATGAGTGGTGTGTGTCATTTGTCTGATTTGTTTTCAAATTAATTTGAGTAGTTATAGCTCAGCTGCACTTAGGCTTAATTTTATTGTCAAATTCCTGGTTCATTTGTCAACTTTACGTATCGGCCTCAATTCTTGGAGAGTATGGTCGCTGAGGTTTAACCTAAAGATAAATTAGCTTTAGGATTGGATGAATGGAAACTTGGGAATTAAATTTGAAAAGCTGAGCATTATTTTTTTAAAAAGGAGTACTCGTCATCCGCATGATCATCATTAAATTCTTCGTAAAATGTCATGTCTTTTTGAAACCTGGTCTCATTGGGCGTGGTCTGCTGGCGTCCCAACGACTGGCCCCTCGGGAGAGGGAAAAACTTTTATATAGGCCCGTGCCCCGTGGCGGCGACCCCGCCCGTCCCCACGGTTATAGTGCGGTGGAGTCGGGAGGGGCCGTCTGCAGGGTTGTCGTGAGTAGGGATCCAACCGACCCAGCCCCCTTTATTTGTGAGCAGAACAGTGGCGGCCATAGCCTTAGGTGCAGCAAAAGTTTTTCCTAGGCCCTTGGTGAGGGCGTGGTAGGCGGCTCGGTTGTCGGTGAGCACGCAGGTTTGGGGTGGTGCCAAGAGGAGCGCGAAGAGGACAGCCCATTGTTCTCTCTGGTAGATGGTGGTTGGGGTGTCCGCAAGGATGGCGACGTTGCTTCGGCAAAGCACATGCCCAGTCCGGAAGAACTGGCGTCGGCGAAAACATCGCGAAACACTGGGACATAGTCAAAGGGTACTGCGGTAGGAAGCACGGTCACCACTTGTTCGAAAAGTTCTAGCCAAAGGGGGGAGGGGGTATTCCTGAAAAGGCGGCCACATGAAGTGGCTGTATGGCGTGGTAGTGCGCCGCATGAAGAGAAAAATAAAACGACCAAAGTCCAGCTGCCCGCTGGTACACTTTTTTAGTCTGCGGCCTGCAGAGGGCCTGAAGCACGAGGAGGTCTCGGCAACGGGTGGGTGTGTGGCCAATTGTTGCGGCGGAACCGTCCAAAAAAACCCCAGGAACTTGACGGTCGGGGAAGCGCGGAACTGCAAATCCGTAGGATTCAAGCGAATGCCACACGCCACAAGTTGTTCTAAAAAGTTACCGAGCTGTTGCTCTAAAAAAATGGGGTCGGGGTGAGCAAACAGGAAGTTGTCGAGGTGGCACCAAGCCCAAAGTCCACGTGAGCGTGCCTCTCCCGGGCCAGAGCTGTTGCAAGCGACTGCATAAAAAAAGGGGCAGGCTTAATGCCAAAGGGCAAAACCTTATAACGGTAGTACTTGCGGTCCAGGCAAAAAGTAGTAAGGGCTCAGGCCGGGGGGGGCAAGCCCAAAGTGGTAAAACGCGTCGCGAAGGTAGAATTTGACAAAAAAAGGGCACGACGGTAAAGGACGAGCCTTAAGGGCTGTCGGCAAAGGGGGGGTCGAAACTTCGGACTCTGAAGACTGGATGTTAAGTGGGAGCTATCGAGAACGAAACGAGAGGAGGACCGGGTCTTGGGTGCGACCTGAATTGGGGAAAGGTAGGGTCCTCTTGTCGTTTCCTCCATGATGCCCGCGGCAAGCATGGAAGCAACAGCGTCACGCAACACAGGCAACTGAGAGGTGTAGGGAGGCCATGCATTGAACACCGACGGTTTACGAGAAAAAAAGTTCTGGTCCGAAGGGTCAAAGGGTGGGTTGTACCCAAAAGTACTTGCGACTAAGTTCCAGTCGACCGAAGGAACGGGGTCACTTGGGCGGACTGGTGGATGCGGAGGCTGTAGCGGGAAGGCCGCAAGCCGTCGACTGTCGTCGTTGGATGGAGAGTCCGCATTATCGTCTTCTTCGGGTTGCACAGGTTGGTTGCGTTGCAACCAGCGTAGGATGCGGAGGGCCGCGTCGGCGAGGCTGTCGTCCTCGTCTGCCAATGGGTCCTGCACCAAGTCAAGGTCCGGGGAAGACCCGGAGCGAGACGAGGGGGAGGACCCGGGCACGTCACTCTGGTTGGAACTGGAGTCCTAAGCAGAGGGAGGTGCAGGGGTGGTCCGGGCAAAACCGTCCGGGAAAGGCCTGAAGGTTGGCCAGGTAGGTGCCGGGAGGCCGGGAACGCCGGCTTCGCGAAGGGCCTGGGCAAGAAGGTCCTCGGGGAAGAGGACGTCCTGGACCAGGGCTAAGGTGGGGACTCCGTCCACGACAACAGCGGGGGGGCGGGCCTCACTGAGGACAACGCCGAGCGCTCGGGGAGGGCCCGAGGGGGGATGCTTCGAGAGCGTCCAAGAGGGTCCAACACTCGGTAGGTTCTTAAATGTTGGCCGGGAGGGGAACAGCCTCACTTTTTCTTGGGGGGCTGCTTCTTCGGGGACTTCTGGCCGTGCTGTGACCTGGTGTTTGGTCTGGTAGATCTGCCAGGCGAGGTGCTGCGGTTGGTGGCCACAGGGCGGGGGGCAGGAGGTCCAAACAGGTAGGTAGTAGAGGGGTCTGCATAACCGTCAAGGGCAGCACCCCATCCTGAGAGTGCAACGTGATGCAACAGTCGGACTCTGTCGAAGATCTGAAGTTTAGAGCGCGGCGGGAGGCCAAGACACCTGCAGTCCCATACGTCAATGAAAAGTTTGAGGAGTTTGAGTTCCTGGATCTCCCTTCGTCCGATGTGCTGGCTATGCCGGGCGACTTGCTGGACAAACAAGAAAGCCTCTGCCACATCACGCCTTGACGGAGCGTCGGCGACAGCAAAGACCTGCTGCCGGGTGGAATGGGTAGAGCCAACGTTGACGTTGGCTCTGCCATCTCCAACTTGTTTTCTTGTAGAAGAGACCGTAGATCGCGCATAGACGAGGCCCTGTCGTCGACGAGGACCTGCTCCAGGCGTTGAGAATGCTGACTAAAGAATTTAGGGAAGTCAACCTGCTCCTGCAGCTCATCGTCACTGGCGCTGCTGCCTTCAGCGGGAGGAGTGGGAACAGGTTTAGGAGGCATACGACCAGGAGCGCAAACGCGCGGCACAAAGCCGACGAAACTGAGGACAGTCTGCCACACTGATGGGAACGGTCCATCCTCTCGTTTGCTGAAACCTGGTCTCGTTGGGCGCGGTCTGCTGGCGTCCCAACGACAAAAGACCGAGTCATTGGTGCATACAATTAAATTCCAAGACCTTCTTTGAACTTTATTTGGAATTGCAGAGTTTTAAGACAACCTTCAGAACATGGACGAAAAGTTATTCTACCTTAACATTTTTTCACTGGAGTACTATTTGCTTTACCTTTGTTGTACACTTAAAATAATTCACCGATGTCAAGATCTATGCTTTAGGCAGCAGCTGCTACTTTGAAAAGGTTCCTGGTCCCCTCAGCATCCTTGTTGTTTATAGTGCTTTTAAAAGGCCACTCCAGACCCCCAAATTTTGTTTTTTTACAAACAGAACAAAATGCGCACATCAAAAAATTTATTTTCTATGAAAAATTATTGAACTGAAGCAATATTTATGGCGCAAGCTGCATTTTGCTGCGTGGCGCAATTGTTTTTATGTTGGAGCCAGCGTAGCTCCTCCATGTGCTGCAGACAGGTGCGGGAGAGAACAGTGGAGAGGAAGACAGCTCGTTTTAATTGCATCTTGCGCCGTAAGTATTGCTCAAATTAAATTATTTTTGCTTGGAAAATGTGCCTTTGGGCCTGCACCACCTATCTGGGCTGTTTAAAAAAAATATATACTTCGGGGGAAGGGAGAGGGGGCTGGAGAGGCCCTTTAGGTGCTCAAGATGCAATTCTCTTAAATCCCTAATGTGTTGTTCAGGAGTTACAATCACTACTGACCAGCTGGTTGGGTGTTTGAGGGAATTGTCTGCTGTGGCGATGGTCACTAATGAGAGGTCATACAAGAGTAAGAAACCAAGAAGGGCATTAATTGTAGCTTGGGAAGGCCAACACAGGATTCTTATTGTACTAGTTGCAGTGAAAATAATAAAAATAAAGTATATTTTTCTGCTCCAAAAGTTCCTTCTCCAAAGTGGGCTTTGTCTGCAGTGCTTCAAAATGATCTGAACCAATCACATCACTGCAAGAGTTATATGCAATCTTCGGGGATTTTACCAGACAATACTCGTCTCCATGTATTTACAGGCATTGATTTTACCAGACAATATTCGTCTCCGTGTATTTACAGGCATTGTTAGTGGAATGTCTGTTGAATATTCCCAAAAGCGTATTAACTTTTGAATTGGACAAAGCTGAGTTATGAA